GCTTGCTCCACTGGCTTTGCATATGGAAAGACAGATAGGAAAGTCACAAAGGAGGATTACATGAACGCAGGATGCTACAACCACCGTAAATACATACTGATGTCTCCAATTGCCAAAATTTTGATTCTGTGACTGAAGGGAGACTGTGACGGCTGTAACTGTGAGGACCAGTCATAAGTCACTGATTTTAATGCCATTGTTACTTCAAATGATTGATAAACAAATGGTTGTAAGTCAATGGCTACCTGTATGTTGTTGGTTTCAGAAGAATGCAATATATGGCAGAAATGTAACATAGAAGATAAGGGGTGAGGCAGGAAAACCCCAATGACAGTAATTTATCCCTTTCTTTCTGCTGTTGCATGGTTCAGAATACCCCCCCCCCCTCCTCTGCTTCCTATTGTGGAAAGTCTTTAATGTCTAACCTGCTTTCCTCTGTTATCCATCACAGATATTTTGTTTCTTGGGCTATGCTTCCTTTTCTGTTTCTTTAAACTCTTGTGTTTTGAAGGAATCTACTGAATGATTGCTATTCAATTGTTGAGAGCAGTTCCACCTTTTAAAATATGACACATTTTCCGAAGTGAGGTGTGGGAGGAGTAACACATGGGTATTAACCCAGCCCTTTTGCCTAGGAGACTGAGGTAATCTTTTGAGGCCACACCTACATTCCTCCTTCTGACCTCCCCAGATTAACCTCAGTCTCCGGCCTAAAAGGAGTGTTTCTCTGACTCTCCCTTCGCTTCGAGAACATAGGTTTTTTTCTACAGGTTTTTTTCTTTACAAAGTGGATTTGTACTTCCATCCATCGACTGCATCACCCTGGATGAGGCCCGGGCTGCATCCCCAGGCTCCCTAAGGGCTCAGGCAGAGGGCACAGCTCCCTATCGCCCCCCTTATCGCCTGCACTTCCGTCTGAGTCTAGGGCTGACTGCTTTGGGCGCAGGCTCCCCAGCCCAGCTAGGCATCGGTTGGCACCACTATCCCCTGAACCCAGGGAATATTCACAGCCTCCAGAGCTCCATCCTGCCTTGCCTGAGCTTCCCACCAGCTTTCAGGAGGTGTTAGCCAGGGCCATAGCCCAAGTGATGGCTTCTGGGATAAATCAGCAGCCCCAGAGTTCCAGGAGTAGGCCTTCCCAGGCCCAGCCCAGGGGTCACCAGGATCAACCCAGTGCATCTGCTGCCAGAGGGGCCAGGTCTCCCTCCCCCTCTACTGCCAGTGACGCCTCAGAGTTAGAGGAGGGAGAGTTGAAGGAGGTGGGGTTTCCTGAAGATGAGGAGGCCCAGGCAGAAGAGGCCTCAAACATCGCTGGCCTTCCCCCCCTCCTTATTTAGCTCCTTGCTTCGTAAGGCAAGGGCCACAGCAGACCTGGACCCCATCACAGATCCCAGGCCTGCGTCTGACACACCTAGCACTAGCAGGGGTAAGAAGAAGGGGCCCATACATAGACCACCAGTGCAAAAGGAGGAGATTCCTACTCCAGATATGTTTCTAGAGGTGCTTAAATCCCAGTGGGTTAAGCCAGGTTCTTTCCCCAATCCAGGGGGAAATGAGAGGAGATTCTATAATCTTAACTCTACCTTTGCCCAAGCTCTCCAGGTTCCCGAGGTGGACACCACGGTTGCCACCTTAGTTTCGGCATCAACTGTGGTCACAGGAGACATCGCCAACTGCCTCAAGGCAGAGGATAAGAAGGCGGACATCGTGCTACGTAAGACTTTTCAAGCAATAACCTGGGCCATTAGGGCAGCCGCTTCGGCATCTTTCTTCAACAGGTCCACGGTGCTGTGGTTGGAACAGGACTCAGGCCATGGAAGTTCGATTGCTGCAGGACATCTCTAAGGTGCTGGCAGCCACACAGTTCTCAGCAGATGCCACCCTGGATGCAGTTAAGTATGTGTCTTGGGCAATGTCATCTTCAGTGGCATCTAGACGCCTTCTGTGGTTACACCACTGGCAGGCAAAGTCCCGGGCTAAGTGGCACTTGACAGGAGCAGACTACACTGGTGACAAGCTGTTTGGGACTGCATTGGATCCTATCCTGATGGAGGATAAGAAGAAACGGAAAGTCTTCCCGGCGACTACCAGACGGTCAGATCTCCGGCATGCTCCGTACCCCAGGAGAACTTCATACTGCCTGAAGCAGAGACCCAGAGCCAGAGGTACCAGAACCCCAGGTTCCACAGGCAGGGGGATAGGCAGTTTCCTAGAGACACGTTCAGAGGCCAACAGCAGAGCAAGCGGCCCTTTCGAGGAGGAGGCGGTCGCCCATTCCACAGGTTCAAGTGATCCGTCCACGGATCACCCCATTGGCGGTCACCTCTCCCTTTTTGCGGATGCCTGGGAATGAGTCACCTTGGATGAGTGGGTCCTCCAGACTGTAAGGCTTGAACTACAGCTGGAGTTCCACTCACTACCCCCTAGTAGGTTCTGCATCTTTGCCTCCTCAATGGATCCCGCCAAACGGGCACTTAAGGCCAAGGCCATCAAACACCTGTTAGATATCAGGGCCATTGAGAGGGTCCCAGAGGGGGAGAAGGGCTCCAGATTCTACTCAAACCTGTTCCTGGTCCCCAAGAGTTCAGGGGGGTGGAGAGCCATCCTGGATCTTAAACTACTCAATTCCAGAGTGGTCTACCATAGGTTCAAGATGGCCTCCTTGAAATCCATCTTAGAGGGCATCCGACAGGGCGACTTCTTGGCCTCCATCAATCTCACGAAAGCCTACCTTCACATCAGAATCACCCCGGAACATCGAAGGTTCCTTAGGTTTTCCCATGAGGGCAACCATTTTCAATATAGGGCTCTTCCCTTTGGGCTGGCCTCAGCCCCCAGGACCTTTACCAAGGTGCTGGCCGTGCCTGCGGGCCACCTGTGAGCCTTCCCAGTCCGTCTTTTTTGCTACCTAGATGACATCCTCGTCCTAGCCAGGTCCCCAGACTCTGCCAAGCAGGACCTGGGGACCACCATCGACACCCTCAGGTCCTGGGATTCTCTATCAACCTGGAGAAGAGCCAGCTGGTTCCATCCACCAGGCTCCAGCACCTAGGATCCATTATAGATTCAGTGGCTGGGGAGGTCTTCCTTTCTCAAGATCGAAGGGACAGCATTGTGCAGCTGATTCACGAGGTTCGCAAATTACGCTCTGTTCCTGTAGTTCTTCATTCCAGGTTCCTTGGGAAATTCATTTCTTGCATAGGGATCATGCCATGGGCTTGACTACACACCAGGGAGCTTCAGTGGTTCCTACTTCCATATCAGAGAGCCGGGACGAGTGACGCCAGCTTCAAAGTTGGAGT